CATTGTGTAATTTTTCTAATGCATAGCTCTTCTTCTGTCTCCCAAGGTTATTTCCATATACCATACATAAAAATAATGCATTGTTTTATACAGACCTTGTTAACGTTATATTGAGAAAAATTTTATAATCTCATTAATTATATGTTTACTCATAAATTTTTATGAAAATACATCCTTGTTTTAAATTTAAAAAAAGTACTGAGAACTGTCAATGTACTCGTTTAAAGAGGGAAATGAATATATATATCTGTATTATAGTTAATTAAAATTTTAAATAAAGTTTAAAGCCGCCCAGAGTCACCTTGAATTTTGAGATGGGCGGCTTATAAATTTCATAAATTCCTGTATTAAAGTTTTAAATAAATTTTAAAACCGCCCAGAGTCACTTTAAATTTCAAGATGGGCAACATTAAATTCTATAAATAAATAAATTGCTGTATTCTTAACTAAAGTTTTAAATAAAGCGTAAAGCGGGCTAGAGTCACCTTGAACCATGAATTGAATAGCATATAAATTTAATAAACTTAAGAAAAAACACATTTGGAGTTAACAGATGCAAGAAAAAAAATATCCAAAACTATGGAGCAGTTCATCCCTTTGCATTCTGCTCACATGTACTTTGAATCTGTTCCCCAAAAGTGACAATTGGAAGTATAAATAACAAATGTTGGGAACAAGACTTCAACAATGCATTGGGATTTTTATCCACTTTGCAGCAAGAAAGAAGTACTGAATAATGTTGGTCTCAAACCTGAGTTGCTAAATATTACTATTAGTTGGGCAGGGAAGACTCATTCACTTCATTCTCTGTGGAAATGAAAAGTAATAGAAAGTTGTGTCTTAACTTTATGTATAGCATTAGATACCATATCACCTTGAGAATTCTCTTTCTAGCTCCTCTCTCATCCATCTGACCTTTTGTTGTGCTAAAGAAAGATTTTATGTGACACCATATCATTACCGTAGAAAGGCCATAAATTTCTGCTTATAGTATCTTGCAATTAAGTTGCTGACCTTTTTTGATTCTAAACAGCCAGATCTCACCAAAGACTTTAGATCATTCTGGTCAGAACACAAGTCTGCATGTGACAAGATGACTGATTCAAAAATAGGAAACCAAAAGTGCCAAATTTCAAGAGTGGCATATTGAGAATTACAGCTTGCTTAGGATCTATTGAACTCATATAGCAATATGCCTGAATCGTGACTTGGTTTATACAAAGATTGGGACTTGGCACTGAATCTGTTCCTGAAAGGAAAAAACAAAACAAAAAGCCAGGCATTGGAACATTGTGAGCCTCGTGACTCATTCTTGAACTTCATGTTACCAGGATTGTTGCTATGCTTGATCATCTCTTACCACTACTTTTCTATGCTTTTTGATTTTCATTTCCGTGGCTTGGTCTTGACTGTTTGCCCTAGTCTCTTTGTTCTTTGAGCAGATCATGAGACATCTTATGAAACTTTTATATCTTCTTCAGATGATTCTGATAGGCAGGATATATTAAAATGAAGCTGAGGATGTACAATAAACACAACAATAAAGCTCAATGAACAATGTGTTTCTTGGGAGAAAAACTAGCAAGTTGGACAAATACCCTGTTAAGAATATTATCTGCATTTTAGTCACATTCCAGGTGCTAGGAATAACCCCACAATTCCTATTTGGAAGATAATGCTGGCTTTGCTGGATTATTAGTTGATTACAGAGTGCAGCACTTAATAATTATAACTATGGAAATGACTGCTAATTTTCTCTGTATAGCAAACATGTAAGGTCTGGATACTTCATTTCTCAAACTGCATAATATATCAATATACATACAGCATCCCAAAGCCACTGGACTGCATACTATCCCCAGCCTCTGTTTGTTCTTCTTATCACTAGAAGAACAGTTTTGAACTTCTGTAGGGAAATGGCAGATTTGGGGCAGCATTTTAAACTTTTACTTAGTTTTAGGTGAAGGGCAGTCTTTAGTCTATTTACTTAAGATACCGTGCTGTACAGAGGCTTCTGCAAGATCAGAGACTAGGCCAAACCCACCCCAAAGTAGTGTTGTGTCACAGCAAATATAACCAAATGGGCACAGCCTGTGCTGTGACAGCATAATGCTCCCCCCCCCACACTTTTCCTCATGTAACACACCTTGTCCTCCTGCTACAGTGTCAGCTTGATCTACTCTGGTTTCTACTCCAGTCTCCCCCAAATCAAACTTGATTTCATGCAGACTTCCACATGGGGAGAGCATTTTTGGAAACCACTTAGACAAATCATTCAAAAGTGGTTTGTCATTTCACAGAGATGTTGTTTTAATTTTTCAATCTAGCTTCAACCTAATATTTTCTGGAAACGTCTCACTGAAGTACCAACCAGGCCCCTATCTCAGGCCAGAAGCTTGCTGCCATTTACTAACATTAAAGTTATGAATATATTCCTTGAAGTTGTTATACAGAGTCTGAAAATGATTCAGAAACGCAGGGCAGGCAGGAAAGGTGCGGTTGCTTTAAGCAGGAATCCAGTTTAGGTTCAGCCCGAAAATCAGCAGCACAAAGAGCAGCAGAGAGGTGCTGTTTTTGTGGGATCTAAAGCCCTTGCTCCCATGCGCATCTGCATAGTGCCCATTATTTTCAAAGCATGCACACCTGCCTTGTGCCCATTATTCGGTGGTCTGGACAGACCAGACTTTTAACTTTCCCTCTTTGCCCTTTGACTTACTGGTCTGAGCACTCGCAGAACCTCCTTCAAGACATCCTGGGTGCTGTTCACAGAGCAAAGCAGCAGCGTGCAAACCACCACGTCCACAGAGTTATCCGACACGGAAGACATGTTCTCTGCAGAGGCGACCACAAAATTCTCGAACTGGAGGTGCGTGTTCTGAGCCATGCTCTCCAGGAGGAAATTCTGAAAATGGGGATTGTAGTCCACGCAGGTCACGCGAGAGTTGGGGGGATAAAACTGAAAGTTGCTGCCGGTGCCCACGCCAATCTCTAGCAGCTGGAGCTTTCCCGAGGAGTCGGCAAAGTCCTGCATGTTCTTGAACAGTGTCTCCTTTTCCTTGTGCAGTTTTTCATTGTAGTTTTTGCTCAACTTTTTCATGAAAAATGGGAAAGTTTTTTTACAAATAGGATCCCATAAGCCAAAATAGGCAAGCACATAGATGGGCAGGGTGAGGATTTTTATGCATTGTTGTAAAATGAGAATCAGCATCGTCGCCGGATTAGGAGAGAAACCCTTCTTGCTTGATCCTCCCCCTCAATGATTTGCTTTAATACTCCCTGCTACGCCGATCCTTTAATGATGTTTCGTAAGCAAACCGTCCACATCCGGTCCCCAGTTGGGATCTGTTCCAGATTTTCCTTAAAGCCACAGTGACTCTTTCAGTCACTTAAAAAAAATCTTTTAGCTCTACAATTTGGGTTTGATTGGTGTGGGAGTAGGAATGGATTTCCAGAGAAAAAATTGCAGACAACAGGAACCAGCACCACTACTCAGGTGACCCTGAGGACACTGCAAGGAATAGAAATCCTTCCATTCTCCACTATCCTGTCAGAGCTGAAGAAGCTTCTTGGATAAGAAGCAAAACATGTTCAAAGAAAAAAACAAGAAAGTCCTGATGCCTCCTGAAAAAGCACCTTCATTTGTTGAAAAAAAAAAAAAAGACCCAGTGGGTGTTGTAATTTGCAACATTTGAATTTGATTTAACATGCAGATTGTTCCCATGGAATCTTAAATCTGGAAGGGACCTTGGAGGTCTTCTAGTCCAACCTCCAATTTTAAACTGGCTCAGGAAATGAATTGCCTCCCAAATTGTCTACAGCGTTGGCAGATGTTTAAAGTAAATCCACAAAAGATATTTTTCATGTTTCTTTAATATGTCTGTTTCTGAGGAAATGTTAGGGATTAGGAAAAGAAATTAGACATCTTTGCTTGAAATTGAAAAAAAAATGAAATTTTGATTTTAGGTTTTGATGATTAGAATGATTTTGTTGTTCTAGAAGCAGCTTCAAATGTTTAGAAATGTAAAGCAAAAAGTTGAGATCGTAATTCTTTTTTTTTTTTGTAGTTTACTGCTCTGAAAAAAGTTGGAAGTCACTTTTTTTTCCGATCTTTCTCTCTCCACACTTATTTCCCTTACCTATCTAACTTTTGTTTCTTTTTTGTATTTTTATTTTATAATAAACTTTAATATCATAAAAATACACATCAAACAGAAATAAATTAGGTCTCTTTAACATCAATAGCTCTCCAAAGTCTTATTGCAGATTTTTCTGAGAAACAACTGATAGGGGAAACATTTCAGAATTAAAGAAGCTGGAGCTGTGCCCAAAAATACAATGACAATATTTTCTTCGAAAAAAATAAAGGACAAACCTGAAAAATGGACAAATCAGAAACATATTCAGATGTGTGTGTGTGTGTGTGTGTGTGTTGTGTGCATGTGCATTGAAAAGTAATTTTGAAAATATGTAGCTTGCTTTGGGATAGAGAAACTGGGAAAAGGAAGTGCAGTGGTACAGAGAAGAGTTGCAAGAAAGATTTTTTAAAAAAGAAATTGGACTGATTGATGTATCTAGGCATTCCATTAATTATTTCATTATGAAAATACATTGTCTAGGACAATTTAAGAAAAATAAGTGGCAAAGTGGAATCGGAGAAGCTGTTTGATGAAGCCAGAGAGGCATTCTAGTTTCAGAACAGAACAAAATAACAGGGTTGGAAGGGATCTTGGAGGTCTTCTAGTCCAACCCCTGCTCAAACATGAAACTATACCATTTCAGACAGATGGTTGTCCAATCTCTTTAAAAGCCTCTTCTGTTGCAGCACCTCTAACTTCTGGAGGGAAGTCGTTCCACTGATTAATTGTTCTCACTGTCAGGGAATTTCTCCTTAGTTCAAGGTTGGTTCTCCTTGATTAGTTTCCATCCATTGCTTCTTGTTCTGCTTTCAGGTGCTTTGGAAAATAGGATGACTGTGTCTTCTTTGTGACAGCCCCTTAGACATTGGTTTCTTTAGTAGTTCCACCATCCTTCAGATGCTTTTTGTAAATGCATGGCACAACATAGGAGAACAAACACATCAGGACTAGATACAGCTGTCCATCTGCATTTAAAAGACACAGGCCACTTTTTTGGAGGCAGCAAAGTCCACATTTTGAACAGAGAGTACTGCTGGTTTGAAAGAGGGGTTAAAGAGGCCATCTATGTCAAAATTGAACAGTCCTCTCTCAACAAAGGGGAGGGATACAACATCATTTATCTCCAGTCTACAACATAGTCCTTTCAACAGTTCCAAGAAGGCTCCACACCAATTTACACCACTCAGATGACTCTGAGGACACGGAAACACCTCCAGGTGACCTTAATGACCAGCTAAAAGAATGCAAATGACCAGCTGTCTGCAAGGAGAATAAATCCTTCCATTCCCCACCATCCAGTCAGAGCTGAAGAAGCTTCTTGGATAAGAACTGAAATGTCTTCAAAGAAAAACTAGAAAGTACAGTTGCCTCTTGAAAAAGCACCTTTGGGACAGACTGTCAAAATGTTCTTCAGCCAGTCACCATATAGTGCTCTTGTCATCAAGCCACCTTATTATTAAAAAATTTTTTTTTAAAAAAAATCAGCCCCAGTTGCCTTAAAATAATAAAGTTGGGGGGGTGAATCTAAATTGAGTGAATTGTACTTAGTGGACCCACTGGACTAAATGTGAACATATTAAAAAAAATCTTAAACATCTTCCTTCGTTTGATTTGGCTTATAAATGATCTGGATAATTACATAGGCAGTCTGGAACAATAACAAATAAATATAGGGAAGGGAAGTGAGAATTCGTAGGCAACAAGTGATATGTCTACTGTCCAGGATATAATTATTTTTTAATCAATTGTTTCCCTTTCAATTTTCTCTTCTCTTTGAAATCAATTGGAAGAAAAGGTATAAGGCACATTTTGTTTAGGAGTATCTGTTATGCTCAGATTCCCAAAGTATGTCCTTAACACATATGCAGAGGCCTAGTGGCTGGTGGCTTGAGATCAGAGGTCTGTGGCTAGAGCTGGATCTGTTCAGAGAATAAGATTCTTCAGATCTGAGATCCCAGACCTCTTTCAATCCTCTCTTTTAGACAAGTCCTCCCAGACTCATTTGCTTGTAAAGCTTTCTGGGAATGTAGCAGCTTTCCTTCCCATAGAACAGGGATCTCCAACCTTGGCAACTTTATGACTTGTGGACTTCAACTCCCAGAATTCCTCAGCCAGCTTCTTGAAGTTGACAAGTCATAAAGTTGTCAGTTGGAGATCTCTGCCTTAGAGGAGCAATTTTCACCTCCTTCCTAAATTGCATCAGCTGCCCTTGAGAGGAGTTTAATTTTATTTTGTTATCCTTGACTTCATTTCCATGGAAACCAGTGACTGAAGTGGCACTACTGAAATGAGAACCTGCAACCAGCCCTGTTTACTTTTCAGCTTGTTCAGATGTGGAATAACATTTAATCCAAGAGAAGAGGGTAAAACAAGATGGACATACCTTTTTATTGCAAATTCCAAAGTAAAAAGATGTACAGTACAAAGGAAATCAGATAAGTCAGATGCTGTTCTTTCAATCTATTTTGTTACTTTTAAAATGCATATTATTTTGTTCCCCCTGCTTCTCCCGTCCTCAAAACACCTTTCTCCCATTTGCTGTTGTTATCTTAAACCAGGTAAACCTACAGGCTAGGGTTTAAAGATGTGGACAATAAACACATTCGTGAGATGGTGGTACAAGCAGAATGCAGCCCAAAAAAAAAAAAAAAAGTATTTGCCCTGATGTCTATTGGGAGGGGGGAAGCTTTTGTGGAGGTTTTAGCAGCATTAACCACACCATCTCATTATATTTTTTTCCTTTAGTCCATGGTTCTGTCACATACACAAGTAGAACACAATGTCCATGTGAACCTCAGAAAAGCATTTGAACAGATGTGAATTAAGTTGAGCCTCACAACACCCCTGTGAGGTAGGTAGTTACCCATTATACAGATGGGTAAAACTGAGGCACGCACAGAGAGGTTAGATAATTTGCCCGAGATCAATCTGCCATTCGGTCACTCATTCACACAAAGCTGAAAACAGAAATCACTAGAATCCTGTTAGAGAATTATCAAAGTCTAATACCTGAAAAAGACATTTTCCCATTCTTTTACAAAATCACTCTCTCATGCCCCTAGCACTCTCATTTTCTCTTCCCCACACACTCCCACAAAAAAAGAAACATACATGTATACCTCCCTATATAAATGCAACATGCAACATATGAGAATTTTTTATATGGATTCATATCTCATGTGACACAATTCTAGTAGACATTGTAATCCATTTGAATGTTGTCTTGAATTTCTCTCCATCAAAATGTTCCAATCTAGTTTAACACCAGAGTTAAATTGAAAATCGCTCTTGTTCACTGGTAAATAGAAACATTAAAAATAATATTTTACATTCTGGAGAGTGGCTGAGTGGATTGTTAGTATTAATTGCCCTTTTAAAAGGATTCCTTATGTGCTATTTATCTCATGGGAATCACAATAATACTGGTGAACTTTAAACAGTGAATGCTTAGTTTGCTATTTCTCCTGCAAAGTCCAACGTGCACTGATTCTTTGTAAAGGGGGTAGACAAAACATCTACTCAGTGCTCAGTGCTCCTTTACTTGCGTTTTGTGACTGTTAAATTCTTATTGTAGCTAATACGGTAAACTTTGGAAAGAAGACTAGATAGAAAAAAAAATCATAGTATGAAAGGGAGAATGAGATCTGCAGACAGGTGAGGGAGAATGAGATCTGCAGACAGGTGCCACACATTCATACAAAACAGGCTTGTTTCAAAGCAAATGTCAGTTCTCAGCAATATCACAAACAGATGCACAAAAGTAAATTATATGCAGAAAAAGTTGTTGGTTGTATTCCTCTCAGAAGGACAACTTAATAAGTCTCATGCAATTCTTCCCAATCATAGTTTGATTCCCAATTGAAGTATTGATGACAAAATAGGCACCGCAGCAACACAGCATACATTTGTTTGTTGACAGAGATGATCTCCACATGGGAGAAATAGCTCAGACGAATTTTTCTTTTCTGGCCACATATTACAAGTGTTCAAAGAGAGCAAGTGGACCATGAACTGCCTCCCTTGGGAGACTTATTAAAAACATACCACCTCTTTTGCTCTTAACTCCTAGCAAAGCAAGTGATTAAAGCAAGGATGTCTCATCTCAGCCCTTCAAACGGAAAGCTTTAAAGAAAAAGTCGATTGGAACAAAGAACTTAAGAATAAGACATTGGCACACACTGCTGCTATTCACTGGATGGATACAGAACATGGACAAGCTGAGGTCTGGGTGTCCACTGACAATCACACAGCTAACACCCTAGCATATAACGGTTTCTGGAGAGAGTGTTGCTAGTACACAAAGGTTAAGGAAAGAGGGAAAAAAGGCATGAAACAGAGTACTGCAAAACTACCCATTTCCTGTGCCTAGGTAAATGCAGCATCCACCTGAGAACCTTCTATATGTGAAAGTGATTGTTATGCTGCAAAAGAACACTGGCTTTTCTCAAGAGCTTACCTGTCTTAGCA